AAGGCCTGAAAATGGTTGCGTTTCTGCTCCATATATGTTTTCCTACATTTCACAGAACCAAGATATGCTGCAATTGTAGTAATGTTAGCAATAGCAACAGGACAGTTTTAAGTGTCATTGTTTGTTTGGAGCTGATGTGCTGCCGGAAACTATCTCTTTCTTGTATATACTCTTGAATACTAGGACTAATTCATTTTAATACTCTGTAATGACGCTATAAAGGAGTAGTTTTAAAAAACTCACTTTTAAAAAACTTTTGCTGATAATTTACTCACCCCCATATCATCAAAGATGTCCATGTCTTTCTTTCTTCAGTCGAAAAGAAATAAAGGTTTTTGATGAAAACATTCCAGGATTTTTCCTCTATATAATGGACTTCAATGGGCACCAAACGGTTCAAGGTCCAAAAGACAGTTTCAGTGCAAACTGTTCAAAGGGCTTTAAACAATTCCAGAATTTTTTTTTAAGTTTTATAAGCTCAAATGCTCACCTTGCTGTTCTGTGATGTGCATTCGTGACTCTCCTATTCGAACTTGTTCATCAAAATGAACAAATCTTTCAGAGTCAATTCATTGGTTGAATGAACCAAATGACTCGAAAAAAGATTTGTCCATTTTGATAAACGAGTTCGAACAGGAGAGTCACGAACGCACATCACAGAACAGAGCAAGGGGACCATTTGAGCTTATAAAACTTAAACTTTTTTTTTTTTAATGAGTGATCGTTTCGCTTGAAAAAACCCTTATTCATCATGTGGAATCGTTTAAAGCCCTTTGAACAGTTTGCACTGAAACGGTCTTTTGGAACTTGAACCGTTTGGTTACCAGTAAAGTGCATTATTTGGAGAAAAATCCTGGAATGTTTTCATCAAAAACCTTAATTTCTTTTCGACTGAAGAAAGAATGACATGGACATCTTGGACGACATGGGTGTGAGTAAATTATCAGCAAAAGTTTTTATTAAAGTGAACTACTCCTGTAAACTTGATGGCAACTAGTCACTCATCATGGTCAATACGAGGGCGCAACAAGATAAGACATCTTTTAAGTCCACTTTTACGCTTTGTTTCCTACAGTAAAAATTACAAATAAATGCATAGCCCAAGAGCGCTCCACAAGATATGCTTGATTATACCATCTGGATGCTCAACTGCTCATCAGGATGGAGGTTCAGGCTTATTTGTTCGTTAATGAGGTCATCAGCGACTAGTCGATGTCAACTCAACTTTAATCGTTCTAAAAAAAGTCGTTCAACCCATATTGTGTACTGCATGTTCATTTTTTGCTCTTCCTTGTCGCTTGTTCGCCATCTTCACATTATAATTTTTCGCTTCAGCTATGATAAAGACACAGCCACTCTTACATTGCAAGTCCGTTTCAACAGCGTTTCTCATACATTGCTTACTGCACCAATATCATTATGCAATGCACCTGAATGATTGAAGAGCACTGAAGGAGGACTTTGGGATGACATTTGTAGTTACCTGCTTCTGTCTAGTGATCAGGTCCCAGTCATCTACCAGCCACGGTTTTAACTCCTCAGGAATTTTTACCTTTACTTCTACTCTGTTAATGAAAGTCTCCTCCTGCACACACAACCAGTTTGGGTGTCAAAAACAGCCTTACTCTTTACTTATGTAAAAACACCAGTTCATAGAGCCTCTTTGGCATATTTGTTTTAAACAGACTTTGAACTGACATACACTCTCCACAGTTGGGTCAACACGTGCCCTCTTCTTGCGTGGGGGGTGAGGCATGTCCCCAGTGCTAGTGCCCTCTCCAGACCCTGGCGCTGAGAAGTTAACAAGGTAGAGTTTTTTTAATCTTTATTTTATTTGATCAGCAACCATAAATAATATCCCCAAGCCACGTTTAATCGAATTGTATCTGCAACTATTAAACTTCTGACAAATACTAATGGGAGAACAGCCAACTGTGAAACTCTTTCAATGACTTTTTAATTACATAAACATAATCAAACAGCTACGACAGGTGAAAATACATCAGTATTTACATAGGGAAATGGAACTTACTCTTTTGCTTGTTCTTCTTTGTTTTTCTAGTGAAATAGAAAGTCCATGGTTAAATATGCACCACAGTAAGCATACGTTTGCAGTTCTGATCAATCATTTTAAAAATTCTAGATGAACTGTTGAAGTGCTTGCATCAAGGAATACTCACACATCTACATTTTTTTGCTGCACAGCAGCGATTTTCTTGCTCGGTGCGACACCCCTCATCCTTCCCTCAACATAATGGTCTCTGGAAAACAGTATGTTCTGCAATAAATCCTTTGTGCAGATTGTATAAACAGGATATGGATGTGTTATGTGCATTAAATTAATTTCTTTGAATATATCAGCAGGCACTTGTTACCAAACTTTATTACTCACTGGTTTGCCTTCTGAAGCTCTTTCTGTTTTTGCAGGTTACTGTCCACATATTTGAGCACACGGCTTTCAGGAACCCATTCGTCCCAACTAGAAACACATTTAACACACATTAGAATTAACAGACCAAACCACATGGTCATTGGTGGAAATTACAAAAACATAGGGATGTTAAAGGTGTCCTAACAACCACTGAATTTTTTTTTAATAAACTTACTTTTTATTCCATCCACTGTAATGAATAAAGTATTTCACTTGTTTGTCCTTGATATTGATTTTCACACACTGTGAAGAGAGAGATAAAATATGTTTATCCTTCCAAATTATCTTTCAAGGGAAACATTTCAAAATGTATTTAATAAGTAAAACTATTGAAATAATTTGTAACATTAAAATTACATTCAAACAACACAACCAGAGAAAAGAGCCTCTTCATGAGAAAACACACTAGGATAACAAAACAACTTAAAGAGATAGTTCACCCAAAAATGAATATTTTGTCATTACTTACTCACCATCAAGTTGTTCCAAATCAGCATGAGTTTCTTTCTTCTGTTCAACACAAAAGAAAATATTTTAAACAATGTTGGTAATCAAATAGTTAACGGCACACATTGACTTCCATAGTAGGAAAACAATTATATGGAAGTCAATGGGGTCCAACTATCTGGTTACCAACATCCTTCAAAATACCTTCTTTTGTGTTCAACTGAACAAAGATACTCTTACAGGTTTGGAACAACTTCAGGGTGAGTAAATGATAGCAAAATGTCCACTTTTAGCTGAACTATCACTGACATAAAAAGATTTGTTAAATGGCTAAAAGTGCTTTCACTGAATGTAACGTTATACGCCCTATCAAAAGCATAACCCTGATCTACAAAACCACAACATCAAACACTTGGACAACATTAACACTAAAAAGGGGGGGGAAATATCAATAAGGCTTTTGAAGGATGCATAAAGACATGAATAATTCAAAGAGATACCTTAGCTTCGTATAGCAATGGCCCATGAAAGCACAGCACTCGTTCACCTGAAATACATCAGAAACATTAACGTGTAATGGCGTCCACTGGTAGGCTAACAAATAAAGGAGAAGCATTAATTAAAACGTGAATGAGTACAGGAGCAATTGTTTATTATGTTTTAATAAACACATTCTGAACAAGTCACAACACACATGATCTATTTAAAAAGTATATATGAGTTTATTGCAATATTTTCAATTAAGAGTTTAATAATTGACGTGACGTGAAGGCCAAATATGGTAACCAGATCAGTGATGGTAACCCATGCTCGGAGCAATGAGTATTACAGCTCGTTAAAACAAATGTACCGGTACTTAGAGCCTAATTAATTCAATTAAATTAACTAAATTGAGTAGAATCGAAACGATAACGAAAACACTCCTAACATTATGTTAAGAATAACGATAAAAAATAATTCCCGCCAGGAGGACTTCAATGCTATAACATGAGCTTCCTGTAAACAAGGCCTGCTGGAAGCTAATCGGCTAACATAGACAACAGCTAATGTTTTGTTACAGAGATGCGGGGCGCGTGCATGTATAGAGGCTCTTACATATGACGGGAAGCATTAACGTGCGATGATGTATGCACTTGATTGCTTATAAACAATTCTCCACATTTGAAAATAGGCAATTAGAAGTGCTCAGCTAAAAAAAAATGCTTTTCTATATACATCTCGCTGTGCACACGCGCCATTGTGCTGTGGCAGCGACCGCTTCCTTTGCACGGCTGAATGAGAGGATACACCGAACAACTGATGACTCCATTAGAGGATACAAAGCTATCCTATAGGGCATCTTACCTTCTTGAAATTTAGGTTTAGGGTCCTGTTTAGGCGCCATTCACAGATTAAACAATAAAAATAGCTGGAAAATCAAATCCAGGCATTGCCAGCTCCGATTTAATTCACACAGGGTGAAGGCGTCGCGCTGCGTTTCTATGACGCACTTTTTTGGCGCCCCTGTCAGCTGACTAGAGCATCACAATTTCTTCTTCTTTTTCTTTTTTATTAGCAGCTCGCATTCTTGCATCACATTTCGTTCGCTTTATTAAAACAGAATTAAAATGTTTTTGTTTTTTTTTGTTTTTTAGAAATTAAGATGTCTTTTGTATAACTTATATTGAAATTTTGCAATTCAAAAAATGCTTACAGAATACAGATGTAATAAAGTTTAGGAGAAAAAATAAGTATTATGGCATAAAAAAACAATATATTATGGCATGTTTTTCATGCCATAATATATATATATATATATATATTCATGCCATAATATATATATATATATAAATATACTCCTCAGTTAAAACCAAAAATGCACTATCCACTCAAGATGACATCTGAAATATTTGTGTAAACACAAATATTTCAGATGTCAACTTGAGTGGATAGTGCATTTTTGGTTTTAACTGAGGAGTATTAAACAAAAATACAGTAACACAGCTATATTGTGTGTATTTAATAAACCAATGAATAAAATGAATCACATTACTTTTTTGATGTAACTGTAAATTACATTTTAATAACACAAATACATTTATTTACAGCCATAACAGTTACTGCAGATGAAGTATATCAAGAACAACAGTCACAGTACTAGTAGTGAATAGTAGCTGAAATATAGCAGTGATGCATGATGTCCAATGTAGTGGAAAGATGATTCATCAGAATTCCGTCCCAAACTAAAATCAGCACATGGAAAAATTACAATGATATGACTCAGATGTTTTTACCTACTAGAGTCTCTTAAAAGGAATGAATATATTCCAGAGGCATTTCTGACCGGCTCTCGGCCACCTTGGTTTGAAAAAAAAAACAAAAAAACTTGAATGGGCAATGTATAGGATGATGCATTGTCCACTGTATAGGTTGATGTGCAACTATGGCTTCAAAACCCATGCATATAAAAGTGCTTTTAGAATAGCTGTCCAGCACTGTAGAGTCCTCTGTGTGCATTAAGGGTTAATAACATATTCACAGTTCTCTGATCTTGGATAATGGTCACATTGACATGCAAGTGAATAAATTAAATATAAATATTTTATAGTGTTTAATCGGTTCTGTTGATTCTTTTTATTTTCGAGAAATAAATTGAGGAAATCCAGGCATATAATGTATAACGCTTAAAGGATTAGTTCACACAAACATTATCCCATAATTTACTCCCCATTAAGCCATCCTATAGGTATATGGCTTTCTTATTTCAGCCAAACACAGTCAGAGTTATATTAAAATATCCTGGCTCTTCCACGCTTTATAATGAGAGTGAATGTTACCATAAATTTTAAAGCCCAAAAAAACCCTGCATCCATCCATCAGAAGAGTAAGGATCCAGGGGGTTAATAAAGCCAGAAGACTTGGCTACAGTCGTTACCATACGCCTGTGATTAGAGAATATATGCAGTATTTGAATGAGATTATTGTGTACCATATATTTATGGTACACAATAATCTCATTCAAATCTAAATCATAAACGAGTTAGGTCAAAGTTCATTTAAAAGTAATCAAAAAGTAGTTAGAATACATCACCTAAAATGAGTAGCCTAATCTACTAACTGCAATTCATGTAATTTGTAATCAGAAATTGAAATTGTGGTCAGAAGTACTGTTTACATCAATAATGAGTTATTCATATTATGTCAATCTTAATCACAACAGGGTCAGGGTTGCTTACGTTTACAATTGATATGATTTAATATGTGTAAAGACAAAGCCTATTGTTGTTTTAATAGTCATTTTCAATCATGCTTTTTTGAACTTCTCAGTGTAACAAAGAGTGTTAAATTACACCCATTGTTTAAATTACATACAGATATCAATCATCAGTTTGACCATTTTTAAACCCATATTTTCAACTTAATCGATATTGTTTTTATAGCAATACATTCAGTGTGGACTCTAAAAAAAGCACCCAATAATAATTATTACGTTCAACTAAACGTAATAATAATATTGGTGATATAATAATAATAGGTTAATATTGCATATTTTATGATAATTATTTTACTATAATTGTGTCATAAACATTCAAAATTACACATTGCTTCAGGCAGCATAAATATTAGTCGATCTGCATGCGTTTGTGCCGCATTTCGGTTCACGCAGGCCTTCTAGATTTCTGAAGAGACCTTTTGAATAACCAAGGGGCAATATTTGACAGACAATTTTTCAGTTTCTTTCTCAATTCCCTTCTCGTAAGACAATAAATAAAAGGATTTAAGGAACTATTGGTATGCGCTAAGCAAACAGTCACAGGGAATACATAAGTATGGACAATATAATAAGCCTCATCCCAGTGAATCACGTTCAGCTTGACGAGCACACCCCAAAATGTAATTGCGTGGTTCGGCATCCAGCAAAGAAAGAATGAAAGAACCACAACTGTGATAGATTTGGTAACATGAATCTTGCGGTTTGAATGAGTGTTACTCAGATTTCGTTTTCTCACAAATCTCAGAAGCAACAAATAGGACACGGAAATGACCAACATGGGCAGAATAAAAGCGATCATAATTTTTTGCAAATGATAAAATGCTAGCCAGTAGTGTCCGGCGGGAAACTTTAGTAAACAGAGCTTCTCTCCAGCCACGATTGTCACAGTGGAGAAAATGGATGTTGGCGCGGTGGCGACTGTGGCAACGACCCACAAAAACGCGCAAACCCACTTGACAGAGCACGATGCTGGGGGTCGGACTCTGCTCTTGGTGGCTGAAGCAACGGAGTAGTATCGAGTGATGCTCATAGCAGTGAGGAAGAAGACGCTGGCGTACATGTTCATCACAGTGACGGAGAGGATGATCTTGCACATGGCGTCTCCAAACGGCCAGCTGAAATCCAGAGCGGTATCCACCGCCCAAAACGGTAATGTCAGAACGAACTGGATGTCTGTGACAGCTAAGTTAATGATGAACACATTGGTGGTGGTCCTCTGTTTGCAGTGTTTCACCCTCATGATGAGAAGGACGAGCGAATTCCCAAATAAGCCTATTGCGCACACGAGAATGTACACCACGGAGATCATGATCCTCAAGACCGGACTCCTGTCCGCAGTCACGTCAATGTCCTCCAGATTTCCAAAAGTGACATGACCCTGAAGGGTTCGGTTAAACACCCTGCTGCTGCTGTTAAAAGGGTCACCCATAGTTAGTTACGCATCCAATGGCGCGTGCGACCTGCGCGCGCTGTGCTCAGCTACTGTTCATAGGCTACTAGGCTACTTCAGTTGTGTTGAAGAGGTTCTGTCAGCGGTTTGACCACCAGCCGTGAGCTTCTTCTAATACATCTACATGTACACGCGCATTAGTATTACCCGCCCATGCGGTGTAAAGATTGGCTAGAGACCTATGACCGAGGCTCAGTCACCCAGGGTGGGAATGATTGGGGTTTTATATTCCTTGGTAACGCGGGAATCGTGAATGCCAACCGACGTCTGGTTGCAATTTGCAAGCCGTTAAACGGACATAAATGAAACCTGGGATGATAGTCTATGAAAACATGAATTTGAAACAATACACTCCAAAAAAAAAAGGTACAAAAGCTGTCATTGGGACTGTACCTTTTCAAAAGGTACACTTTTGTACCTAAAGGCTGCATATTGGTACCTCAATGATGCATATTAGCGCCTAAAATGTACATATTAGCAATTGAAATGTACATAGTAGCACCTGAAATGTACATATTAGCACCTAAAATGGACAAAAGTTTACCTTTTGAAAAGTATACAGCCCCAGTGACAGCTTTTGTAACTTGTAATAATACAATTTAATAATATATAACAATTATATGCAGTGTATTTGCACAGCCCTGTATTTATAGCATATAATATAGCCTATATATATTTTTTAAATATGACATTTACATATACAATTTTTAACAAATTATAACAATTCTGACTTTTTTTCTTCAAGTGACTACCACTTTGTGGCGGAGATGCTGTTGTTCCCAATTGCTTCCACTTTGTTATAATACCACTAACAGTTGACCTTGGAATGTTTAGTGAAATTATGTGAATTTTCACGAATGGACTTATTGTTGGCAACTCAAAAAAAATGATGTGTTGGCTTTACTTAACTTTTTTATGTAAACAGGTTCCACCGGTTCCACATAACTGGGTTTCGTTAAACAAACATAATTTGTTCATGCATCCTCAACATCATGGAAGTAATTTTAAGCCATTCAATTAAACTTTGAGTGTTAAAGTTAATGAGATAATTAAGTGAATAATTGATGATTGAGCATTATTGAAGACACCTGAACAAGCAGAATCACTGAAGGAGAAAACCGAATTTCAGGTCACCATTATAGATGAGTGTTTGTTTGAGTTGGGCTCTTGACCCCCACTCTGATAGTCCATCCAATTAAATCAGTGGACACTGAGAGTGAACATATAGTGATTGTGAAAGTAATTCATGTTTCAAGTTGAAGAATAGTGTATTTTGAGTTCTTTTATTGTTTCCCATCTAAATCCAGTTAAAACTAAACTAATAAGGGTTGTATTTGAGAGATATAGGAAATCATCCACCCTGTTACGCATTTCTTTTTAAAATCAACAAAAAACATATTAATAATCCAGTGACAATTAAAATGGACTGTAGTATCAATAATGCAATACTTCACAAAGTAAACAAAAAAGCCTTTAAGGCATTTGTCTCTGAAAACGAAAAATGTGAAATGATGTACAAACAAGTACAATTCATATTTAATATATATATTTCCTAATAATTTATTAACTGACGAGTTGTCTACGATAATGTTCACAGCATAAATTAGAAAGTATTTGAAACTGTTGTTCATTTTTCCCTATAGGGTGGAAATTTTTGTAATTATTTTGTTTAATAAATGGTTAAATTTATTACCCAAAGCTTAAACAAAAATATTTTTTCAAATGTTTTAGGGCCTACATCACCCTATTGTCATCAAGTGTCACTCAGACAGACAAAGAAGAAGGATAAATTTCAAAACAGGAGTCTAGTCATCCACAGCATAACAGAACAAAAGGAAGTTATAGTTATGCATATATAGGCAAATATTAGCCTGACTTCGTCATACTCATATTCTAGTCAGGGTTCGGGCTGACATCCAGGCTAGGCATATATAGTCATGGCGTGTAAAAACTGTAAAAGGTGGTTGCTGTTTCAGTTGCGGTGCTCTATCACTGACGTCTTGACAGCCAGATAGGACATTGGACCATTGATTGGATGAACATTTTATAGTCCTACACCTTCCACAGTTGATGTTTACGTACGTAAAAAATGCATTTAGACCATTTAACTTATTGATTGCTATAAGAATTCGAAGAGACTTTCAACCAGCATAACAAGAAAAGTTTCTGCAACCAATAACCTTCCCAGCCTTTAATCCATAAACTGTAATGTTGAGTATTTTTGCATTCACTTGTGATAAAAAAACACTTGATCAATACTAATATCAGACCAGCTCTTTGTCAATCAAATTATAAAACAAAAGTGAAGTTTAACTCTTTTTTTGTTGTTGTTATTGCTCTGTAGTAAAAAAAAAAAAAAAGGTACAGACAACTTCTAAGTGTGAAATAGGGATTAAGCATTCTGCAACCAGAGGTCAAATAAAGACCAAAATACAGATAAGACAGAAATAGAAAAGATTTAATGTATTTGTTTTATTACAGCTAAACCGCTCTCTACATAAACAAGTAACATTCATTAAGTAAACAACGTATCCCAATTCAAATAATAAATAATTCATATAATATTTTGTACAAACTGGTATTGGTTTCCTGTACATAATGGTTTCTCTCATAGCGTACCATACAGTAAGAGAAGAACTTAAGGCAGAGAGTTCATACTTGCCAGTTATTGGTACAGCTATAACAGACTGACTGTCTAGTGGTTTACTTCAAGGACGTAGCGGTTCAGCGGGCACGTGAAATGTATGATTTCAGTGCGATGTCAAATGGTAGATCTGCGTAGAACGATGGCCGTCTCAATTTTGTGTGCTATTACGTAACTCAGTGCAAATGTAAAAATATATAAATTAAACGAGCATGGGTTCATCAATCCAATTGTTAATTTTCAACACTTTGAATACAAAAATCACTCATTCAGAAAGGTTAGCGAACTGTGCACTGGCTGTCACCGAGTGATTAAAAGTACGTTCTAACGTTCCAGGTCCAACATTAGTGGTTCCACAACCTTTTTTTTTTTTTTTTTTAATGCAGGACAATCAATGACAAATCAAATACAGCTGTCACTTCACAACAAAGCCAGCTGGCTTTTGTCCTTTAAACAGTTTCACTTCAACCAAAGTTGAATCTGACACAGCAAGTATGATTGTGGAATTAATGCCTCAGAAGTCTCATATAGTACAAATATGAGAGAAGAAGAGACGAGGACACGTAATTAGCTACTTGTATGACGCAAAGCAAGTGTTAAGAGCTCTTGAAATAATTACGAAATAAATGCATGATCATCAAACAAATAGTAAAAATATAATATATAGATAAAATAAATAAATTCAGTTTAACACAGATGAAAATAGACAGCACAGATTATGTTGCAATTCGGTCACCTTCCAAACACACTTTCAAAACCCAGATAACGGTTGCGTTGGAACGGTTGGTTCCAATTGTAATTGTAGCCCAAGCCAACACATCCCTCGAGAAAATGTCATTTCATACGTTGTGTTCTCGACCTTTAAAATGGCATTTGATATAGGTTTGCTGCACTACGGCTACTGCAACATCCTTCTGGTTATTTTTCAGTCATCTTTGCAACACACTAAATGAGGTATACTAAAGTGTCCGATACCCTCAGCGCTGTTTTTGCCAACCTCACCTCATCTCTTGAGGTTTAGTTCAGAAAAAATATCATCAAAGGATATACGATCATGAATAAAAGTACAAGAGTCTACTTACTAGCGAATCTGGGTAATGATGCCTTTAAACTCCGCTTCTTACGTAATTAACGTGGTGATGAATGAGAAAGTGTAGCTGGAATAAGATGTGACCTCTGTCGACTGTTCAAGCATGTCGTGGCTAGATCCTGTATTGGCATAAGGGAATGCTTCTGTACAGCATACATCCTACATAACTTAAAGCAATAATAAATTACCTGCACAGGATAATGGCATTAAATAATGTGATGTTCCCTCACTGATCAAACCATGGCTGAGGGAAAGAGTCTTCGAAATAAAAAGGATGAAGATGACTGCCATTCTATTACTGTGACTAAAATAATTATCTGAAGTGAAATAAAATAGCAAAAAAGTATAAAAGGTACAGAATAAGATAATCGAGGAACAACACACAGAGCAGTGAAAAATCTTCAGTATCCATGGAGAAAATACCAACTGAAGTCACTCACTGGGTAGGCAGCGTCCTATTGTTTATGTACAAAAGTAAAACTGAAAATAGATTTTTCTTCTCTGTACACAGCAATTTTATTCTTCTCTTTACAAAAGTCTTTGTTCTCTTTTTTTCCCCCCGATCATGTCTAAATCCTATCACGAGTGCACAAAGCTCCTTCTCCGCCCTCCAGCTGTTTGTGATAAAAGCTTGTCCGTTTGCAGGGCGCCCCAGTGTGGTCAGTCCAGTGATATGACATCGGGGATGGAGCCGTATATTACGGAGGCGGCGGCGTCTGAGCGCGAGCGGGAGGCGCCGGTGTGTGTGTGGCTGTCTCTCAGACTGCTGGAGGACACCAGACTGCTGCTGCTTCCACTGCTGCTGCCCCCGCTGCCGTTGGCAGGCACTAGCGAGCTGTTCGCAGACGTCCCCGACTGCTCCAGGAAGAGCTGTGACGAACCATAGGGCATGAAACGGTTCAGCAGCAGCTCATGGTCTTCTGAGGCTGACGCAGAGGCTGAGGCGGCGGCTGCAGCGGCCATGACCATGTTATAATGCTGGAACAACAAAAATTTTAGATTATGTTGATGTTTAATTTGAAAAAAGTTTGTATTTTAATTCTCTCTCAGTTAGTCCTCAATCCATGTAGTTTGGCACCAGATGTGGTCAAACATAGACGTTTGATTAAGAACAATGCTGCCCTCTAGCTGTGATGTGCTGCTGTTTCAGAGAGTGAACCTACCTGGTGATTGTCCCCTTGTAAAAATGAGAAGAAATTCAGATCTGTAGAACAAGGAAAAAAAGTTGCTTGGGATAAATTTGCC